AATGATTCAAATGATTGTTGTAATTCTTCAGCTTTATTCTTATCAGAGTCTTTAAATAGTTGAGTATCGTATGTGCTTTATTGCCAAAATAATGATCATCCAGTCGTTGTTCAAATTTTTTTAATTAAATCAGAAATAATTCGATAAAGGTCAACAACTGTTATATGTTCATCTGAGTAAATTGCGAAGTAAAAAGTGGAATTCGGAAAAGAATCCCAATTCAGAAATTCGTATCGAGTTAATCAACATCGCTTGTTCTTTAATATGAAAAGATGTTTGACGAGGACAATACCTACATCATTTCTTTCGAACGTTCCATAGCATACTAAATAAGCCGTTAACAATTATTTTGTTTTTTGTTTGATTATATGTATTCATTTGACCCCTCACGAAAATATTTTCAAATAATATATACAAGACTGGATCTTATCGGTTTATCAATCTATGTTAAATAGCAGTTGCATTTAACCGTCAGAAACAAAGAAAAATTTCAATAAAATGAATCCATTTGAATTCAATCGATCATAAAATGGATTTTCTATTTCATAAAAATAAGCTAATACTGTTTCTTCACTTAATTCTTTATTAAATGTTGAAACCAAGACAATTTAAGCCAATTAAAAGAGTAAGAAGACTTTCTAGAGATTTATTTCCAAACCTGGGTGTGGTGTGGGTGTGGGGTGTGGGTGTGGTGTGGGTGTGGGGTGTGGGTGTGGGTGGGGTGTGGATATGTCTTAATCGTCTTCATCTACACCTACACCCACGCCCACCCACATCCACACCCACACCCTCGACGAAATCACAGAAGATCCTACAATCAAACAAGAAAATAAATTAAACTCTAAATTATTACAACTAAAAAATGATGAATTGATTACAACTGAAGAATACAATTATGCCAAATCAAGAGGTTCACAACCAGCCAGAATCTATGGATTACCAAAAATTCACAAATCACGTGATGCTGACGGCTTTAATCCAATTCGTCCTATTGTATCCTCGTCAAACATTTTTAATTACCGTTTAGCAAAATTACTCGCAAATAAATTAAAACATCCTTGTGAAAACTCTGCCATTATAAAAGATACATTTTCGTTCGTCAAATGGCTTCACGAACTAAAAATCAACCCAAATGAATTAAAATGTTATCATTTGATATTACTTCATTACTTACGAAAGTTCCTCTTAATCAACCAATTGATATAATATTAGATAAATTATATGGAAAAAAGCATACATGCATTTTTAGTTATGAACCAAAAGAAACGTGGTGCAAAAATTGTAAACAACGATACGAAATGGATCTTCTACTAAAAATGACTACCAAAGAAACACATTTCTTATTTAATAATAAAATTTACTGCCAGCGTAATGGAATCTCAATGGGAAGCCCGCTTGGTCCCTTATTTTCTGATATTTATGTGAATTATCTCGAAAATAAGTTCATGAAACGTATTAATAGAAATGGAGTCGTATATTAAAAGCGTTTCGTCGGTGATACTTTCACATTAGTACGTAATGATACTGATAAGAACAAAATCCTCGAAATATTAAACAGTTATGACAATGAAATACAATTCACATGTGAAGAAGAAAAAAAGAAAAAAATATCGTTCCTCGGTGTTAAAATCCGACAAACCAAAACGTTATCAATGCCTTTCGCTACAAGTATTTATCGTAAACCAACTTTCACAGGATTATTATTAAAATGGTCATCATATGTACCAAAAACATACAAAATTAGTGCAATTAGTACAATGATCTATCGAGCTATTAAAATATGCTCGACATTTAAATTAATGACACAAGAATTTGACTTCATTCGAAAACTCGCAATCCAAAACGGTTATCCCATTAACTTCATTGAATCACAAATTCGATCAACGCTCAACCGTTATTATAACTACAAATATTCGCAAAAGCCGAACTCTCTAACTGCAGCTGTCTTAAGTGCGAAAAAGAAAGAACAAGCGTACGTCGACATTCCATATTTTGACAAAACAACTGAAAAATTAGGCAAAAAGTTAATAAAAATCGCTGCATCTGTTCGTCCTCAACTACACGTTCAACCAATACCACGTCCACCACCAGCGATATCGACTTTCTTCTCGTCAAAAGACAAAATACTTATTTATCTCCAATCTGGTGTCGTATACGAAATCTCCTGTCAAGATTGCGAAGCCACATATATAGGCAAAACACTCCGTCAAATTCAACGACGATTACATGAACACGGACAACCTTCTTCACCTGAACAGAAATCCAACACTCCAACACAAACAACAAGTACTTCTCAAAATGATTTATGACGATCAAAACGTACACCTAAACCAATTGATCGTTACGGTATATCACAAATTGTATATACTCCGCAAGAAGAAGAAAAAACTCCAGTTGAACAAAAAGTTATTCAATCAGCCATATTTAAACATGCAGTTCAACATCAACATCATATTAACTGGGATAAAACCAAAATTATTGACAAAGACTCAGCACCTTATCGTCTATTATTTCGTTAATCTCTAGCCATCAAACAGTTTCAACCAACCTTAAATCGTACAGTCAACTCAGTGCCATTATTAGTATTTCCTGAAGGTTTAACAGTAAAAAAACCAACTGTCAAAATTAAATCAACACAGTGACAATATCAACCACTCATGAAGGGGGATTTGAGATAAATAAAAGCTTTTATTTATTTCTTGCCATATATTATAGAGGTGTTTATAATTCATTTCTATTCGTTATAAACGTTTTTCTTTCTTCTCATTGTTCTTATTTTGTTCTATGTTAAATTTCTATCTTGTGACAAATTCATTTTATATCTCGAAAATGAAGATGTATTCTTCGAAACGTCGATATAAAATAAAATAAAATTTGAAAAAAGAAACTCTGCTCTTTTTTATCAAATTTTAAATAATAATGCTATATGCTGCTGTAAAATTACTATTGTGTGAAATAATCCTAATACAAATATATCATTACAAAGCTATTTGGCAATCAATGAAAAAAGCTGTTTCAATTCAAGCTGATTAATGAAATATCGATTAAGTTCTGTTGATATATGAAATGAATAGAGCGCCATACTGTCATCCGACATTTTGCTTGACTAGAAAGGGAAATGATTCAATTGAAATTTCATCTTTCTGACAGCATGATGAGAAAGCTTTCGAGAGTCGTTCTCATCATGTAATATGATTCCTATCGTTCTTTTAGTCTGCACGCTCTCGTCTGTTTTATATACGAAGCTTCTGCTTTCAAACGATTGTCTCAAACGATGGTATCAATCGTTACCCTATTTTTGGCTATCACTGTCGCCTATCTATTCGCTGTCGAGGCTAGTCAAGTTACCAATTCTTGTCAAGCCCGTACCAGTTCATTCACACAATGCATAGCAACTGTGATAACAGGTGAATGCGAAGATTCAACGCTTAATCTGAAGGATACGGAATTTACTGACTGTAATGAGATGTACGTCTTCTGGTCATACCCACAGTACAATCTTACTATTAGTATCGCTTCACCGTTTGTTGAACAGAGGAAACCATTTATGGTCTCTCTAGACAATCGTCAAGTTCGTACGGGTGTGAATAAAGTCTTCCGCATCTACAAAGGTCAAGAAGTGGATGTAACTACGTCGGATGATACTTTGGTTCAATATTCGGATGCCGACTATCTTTGCGTTCTCAAATTTGTTGCTCCTCAAAAACTACAACGCTATGGTGTTGACATCGATTGGAAGGTGACACGACAATAATTCTAAATTCATGCTGTTTGCCCTTAAATAATAACGGCATGTAGAGAAGAATAAAAAAGAAACTAGTTATATTCCCTATAAATTCAACATTTTTCAGCCATGTTGGAATCTGTTCTCAATCCGTACGCTTCACGTTTATCATTGACGATAAACAACATTTAATGTGGCGTGCACTAACAAGTCTTGGAATAGAATATTGAGAAATTCACATTTAAGTTAGTCTTATTTCAAAATCGACTGAAACTTTTCATCGAATAACTCACAACAGTGAGGGTGAGAGAAATTAGTAGAAGTTTTTCAGTTATACCTAATGTTGTTTCGTGAAGAAGTGAATTGCACAAGAACTTGGATGCTGTATAAGTGATTCTCAAAATCGTGTGTCGGTGTCGGTGCACCAATATATTGTCTCCCAATCAACAATGGATCCTTCTTGAATGAAATTATCTTCCTGTAAAATCGTTGCGAACTAAATTAGCACTCTAGTGATACTAATCTCTGTCGATGATAAGCTACCCAGGAAATGAAACGAAACTGAACCAGTACGATCATAGTGAAATGAGCGATCTAAGAAGCAGGTAGTTTTTCTCATAAACTAAACAATTCACAAACTGAAATTAAATTTTAACCAGAGAAATGAAAAATCGATTCTTTAGATTGCATTAGTATACGGAACGATAGAAAAATGAACTTCTACAATGCCCAACCAATGGTCACGAGCTACCTTATACGTATAAAAAAGTAATAAAACGATTTAAACAGAGTTTCCTGTAAATATTGAACATAGTTACAATGACACATACAATGATGTTCGGGTTTCAATCATTCATATTTGCTATTGGGAAACTATCAGACAAATTGTAAATACTGAATGCATCTGGGACAGTTGCATGATTGTAAATCTGAAACCCGAATTTAAGACAATCACAGGTGGAGGAAAGGATGAGTCAAAACTTGATAGAGACAAATCAATTAAACTACTTAACTTCGTTTGACAAGGATTTGTATTATCATAATACAATAGATCAAATGTGAATTGATGATGAACAACAGTATTGTTGCATGCAGAAATATTTCGACTACTACAGATCGAAATTAATGGTATTGTACTTCCCATAGCGATATAGTTCCCACTAATGGATACATTTGCTTCATTATTACCTTGAATCAAACCTTTGCCGTAATTTCCAAATAGAAATGTTGATGATTGTAGCACAATATCAAAGAATATTGGAATCAACTAACGTAGATTAGGTGCAAAAGCAAGGGTGTGGGTATGGGTGTGGGCGTGGGTGTGAGTATGTGTTTATTGTCTGCGAACCCACACCCATACCCACACGCCAAACTGACTTCTTTTTTGTGCAAGAGGAACATCACATATTCATCTTTGGAAAATTTACAGACCCCGTGTAAAAATCGCTGAAAATTTAACGATTTTAACAAAAAAAAGATGTTACATTTTTGACCGTGAAAATACGTTAAAAATTGTTTTTAACGAAGTTTAATGAGTTATTTCACGTTAAATTGTGTCTAATGGGAAAACATGCGTGGATTCTGGTTGGAAACAAATTTTAAACGCGTTTTCACGGTTAAAAATGTAACATCTTTTTTCGTTAAAATGGTTAAATTTTTAAAGATTTTTACATGGGACATAAACGGTCATGGCACAATATTTCCTCTTCAAGATTCCAAAAACCTTAGCAAAACATAGAAAAACGAGTGTTTTTTGAAGTCTCTCCTTTCAACTGATTGTAAATGACCTAAGAAACCGGTCAGCTTTCACTGGTTTTTATCGGTCTGCAAAGATTTTTTTAACCGACCGAACCGGACCGGTTCAAAAATTCTGGACCGATTACAATTCTAGTCCTGTTCATCCCATACTATAGAGAATTATAGTACTATTTTATGATGACACTTGTCAGGTCAAACTTCAAGATCCCAAACTTTTCATTGCATGGTCAAGTAGCACTAAGGTAGTAGTCTTTGAGAAAAAATTTTGAGCAAATTCTATTACGCTGATCTGGAGAAAGCCTATCACGAAGATAGGCTATTTTCGGGCCTAATATATCAGGAGAGCAGGGCTATAGTAAAAAATTCAGTGAATACTTTTCACAACATAGTCATGATTGAACTTGATAGTCGTATTGCCCATCTCAAAATGTGTCTGGTAAAAATTTCAGAACTCTATCACGTACTGATGAGAAGATATTGTGAAAACATCTTAAATGAAAAATTGACAAAAAAGTCTTAAATTGATAAAAAGCTATTTTGAGTGCTTTTAGAGGGATTATCATGTCTCAGCCAAAACTCATTCTATAGGTCTAAAAATTTGGTTATATACCTAAAAAATTTGCTCTACAAAATGGGGTAACTTTCATCGAAATCTGAAATTTTCGATTGAGCAGCTATATTGGTATTCGATCGTGGCTCTCGTGCAGTGACTCATATGAAAAGGTCGAGATAAGCTACATTCAAAAGTGTATGTAGCTTATTCTTGCATTTTGCATCAATCAAGTTACGTTTCATGCTTAACTCGTTTCTATCCATCCTTTGATGACAGTGTGAATGTGTATGCCATGTAAAATTTAAGCAAAAAAAATGACCCGTTTAACTAAACGATCAAATACTTGAATTAAAAATAAAAATTAATTCTGAGTTCTACTAAAAATTCCGAATAAGATTAAATTAAAAAAATAAAAGAGATCATATTGAAATATCAATTAATCTGCTGTTTTAAATAATTCTTTTGGAATATTTTTTTGTTTTAAAGCTGAATCAAGTGCTAATTCACTCTATATTTCAACAAGAGTCAGTTTTACTTATAAGATGAGACAAAGCATATTCCAGATTCTATAATTCGACTGTTACTATTGCTTTTCGGAGTTATTTTTTTTATTCAAGTATTAAACTTCTGCTTTCGAACAATATTTGAAGTAGAATTTCATGGCTGATAAAATTCCGGTTCAAGGAACACTATATACCCTTTAAAGAAATCGAAAGTTTTATTGATTCTACTAGGAAAAGTTCAAAAAAAAAATCTTTTTAAATGTTTGGTGTTAAGGCTAATTCTTCTTTCGTAGGGTATTTAAAGAAGTAAACAATACTGAAATACAATTTCGTTTATTTATCTAGTGTTTTTTAATTAATGAGACATCATTCTCATCCTCATCAAAACAGTACAATATAATATTTCATCTTATCGATGGAATTTTGTTGAAATCGACAGTTAACATGAGAATAAAAATCGATTGACACGATCAAACACAGTTGAGACTCTAACCCTGTGCAATACAGACTAAAAAGTTGGCAAATCCAATTCAATTGAACTCCATTCAAATCATAGTCTTAAAGTATTTTGTCGATTCAACTGGACTAAAAATTCGTTAATGTCATACAATATTCCCAGTTCAGATCATTCAATCCATGATTTGAGTTGCTCAGTTCTGATATCGATTATGTTCAACAAAAAGACTTGCGAGTTTGTTTTTTTTATACTATATTAGTTGATTTTATGATCGCATTAGATTGAATCTTTCTTTCGAGCTTGTTTCTGTCTCCCTTATAGATGAATTTTTCTTATTTCAATATGATTATACACATGCTGCTTGACTCAATTTTTTTCTCTTCTATTGATGTTAAACGATGACAGAAAGAAACGATCACATATGACACTCACTCTTGTCAAACATGAAATGAATGCTTATAGAAAGAATAAAATGAAAAGTGTTGTGTTACTTAAATCTATTTGTTCTTGTATTATTATTGTGAAAATTCGTTACCTCGATGAGCACAACATACAGAATTGTGTACACTTTATTTGAATTTGGTCTTCCAAAAATGTATGGAACTTACTCACGAAATGACTTCATTAGGATTATAATATTTACGTGAATCGATAGACTAAAGCATTGTTTATACGATACCAAAAATCGAATTTAAACATTTTTTTTGCACTCACGAGTTATTGGAAAATGAAGGAAATTTTAAAAAATCCTGAGTTCGACACACTCGCGCTCAATAGGTCACTTGTGTAAAATTTGGAAGATCAATATATTTGTTCAAGATACTAAAATGAAAATTTCATTTCATTCAATACAAGCGTATAAAAAATCACTTTAAAAACATTTGTACATCTCAACTTTGTCTCTCTATCATATTGTTGCTTCACTTTGACATTTTTGTGTTGAATTGAGCTGTCCGACTCTGGTCTTGATCATTTTAAGTGCTAAGATTCACAAAGTTTTTCTGTTGTATTATGTCTTTTCGTTTTATGCTCTCATCTTGTATTGAATTCTTCTTTCAATTTTACTTCTTTCACCACAGAATTATATGCACGAATTCTTTTTATCTCAATATAGTTGTATACGTGCTGCTTCTCTCAATATTTCTTTTCTATGAGTAGTGATGATAGAAAGAACAATTCACATATAACACTAGCTTTTGGTGAATATGAGATAGATATTTATGTTTATAAATGGAACAAGGAGTTGTTCTTCAGTTTAAGCCCCTATAGTCTTTTAGTTTTTAAGTGCATCAATAGTGTAGAATATTAAATATTAATACACTTCCTAACGATATTAAAAGAGAAAGCTCGTTTTCTCGAGACACAGAAACAAAAGAATCGTCTTAAAAATATGTGCATATCCAAATTTTGGTTCTACAATACTTCAATAGTTCTTTTCAATATTATACCGTTCAAAGTCAGTGGCAACCGAAAAATAAAACGAAAGCAATCCTAAAAGTTTTGGAAAAATTCCTTGAATTACTTCTTTTTCTTAGTAGTAAGAATAATTTAATGTTTTTTGGAGAAGAGAAATTTTGTGCAAATTAAGAATATCAGTATTAAACTTTTATTTCAGAAAACAAATTGAGTAAATTCTTAAAGATTGGAACAAAAAGAATGAAAAGACTTTCAATTAATTTGTATTAAGAATGTTAATTGATCATTAGAATGGCAGCTGTCCTAAATGAATTTTTAATTCTGAAAAATAATTTGCTCATCTTTGTTTTTCTAATGATAAAGTTCTTATTTATTTTTACTCTCAAATAATAAATGTTTCTTTATTTCCGCTTAATAAAGAAAGAGTAAATCAGCATTTTTTATCCTCAATAACAAAAATCTCTATTATTGAAAATAAAATAATTCAAACAAATTCTGTTTTATTGAAAAAGATATTAGGTAACAATTTGATATGTAGTGAAAATTAGTTCAGATAATAACAAACAAATGATATCACTTGAATTTTTTTCGTTACATACAGACCAACTATATATTTTTTAACGAGTGAAATATTTCGAAGAGAAATATACTGTTTTATTTTATCAATCGTATTCTAAAATGATCGATGAAGATTAAATCATTTCATATTACACTGTGAATATTAGATAAATGTTCTATCTTAAATATCGTTCAGAAAAGAGTATGTAACGTTTTCATAATTAAATGTTATCGAGCGCCCTCACTTCATTTATTCTCTATGAAAGCGGCTGAGTGCATTTTAAACAATGGCGATTTCATGAATGGACATGAAAGTGTATGTAGATTAATCTCTCAACTACCCACTATATATAATCTGTATTTTGATTGGTCCCATTGTCTCTATTATATCTAACTATAAACATTTTTTTTTAAAAGAAAAACTGGAACTGCAGTTCAATAGAGAATAAATTTTTCTATCAATAAATATCAATATCATTGTATACACGATCTCTTAAACACTTTCAGAGGGCGCCACACATAGCAGATTTGATATTGATTGGCTGTATTGTTATACATATTCTATTCTGCCGATAAATTTGACATTTTTCTTTTCTCCATATAAATATATACTCGATCTCACCATATATTTCATTCATTTTTTTTCTTTCACTTTGTTCGACAATCAATTTGTGAGTATATTTCACTTGTTTATCTGTTCACTTTTTTATACACATAATGTTGAAATATCTATGAGATAGAAATGAAGCGTGAACAACAATAGATCAATATGTATAAGAAATAATATTGACTTATTGTCTTTTATATTGAGAAATCAAATAGGAAACAATATTTATTTGATTTTCTTTTATTTAAATGTTTTTTTTTCTTGTTTTTGTTCTTTCAGATGATGATTAGTGATCTTCATAATAGTAAAGCTACTTGTGTTTTCTTTAAAGCTCCTATTCATAATGAAACTATGAAAAGTTCATTAAAACATCGTCGAGATTCTTCATCATCAAATGATGAAAATGAACCATCAGCTTCAACATTTCGTTCTACACAAACAAAACCAAAAGATCTCGTAACAACAAGCAAGAATTATGTATCAAATAAACGTCATAAACAATATAATGGATATGATGATGATGAAGATGAAGATAATAATACAAAAGAAAAATTACTTGATGTTAAATTTAAATCTAATCGACAAGCAAAATTACATGGTCCAAAAGATATGGGTGCAACGGCTACAACTGAAATTGATACTGATAAACAACATGATCAACAAGCTATATTTGAACGTGCAAAAGAAATTAATGAAAAATTAAAAGGAAAAGAAGATGATAAAATATATCGTGGTATAAATAATTATCAACAATTTTATGAGAAAAAAGATACTGTACAAGGAAATGCAAGCAGTGGTCTTGTTCGTAATAAAGGTAAGAGAAATTTTTATTCATATTTGTTTGTTATTATTATTTTTTTCTATAGGTCCAATACGTGCACCTGCTCATCTTCGTGTATCTATTCGTTGGGATTATCAACCTGATATTTGTAAAGATTATAAAGAAACAGGTTTATAACAATCGAAATTTCATTTTATATAAAATAATATAATTATTTTTTATTTTAGGTTATTGTGGTTTTGGTGATAGTTGTAAATTTTTACATGATCGTTCGGATTATAAATATGGATGGCAGCTTGAGGAAGAATGGAATAAACAAACTTATGGAGCTGTAGATGATACAAGTAAAAAATATATTGTTGATGATAATCATGGTAGTCATAAACATTGTTCAAGTGCATTCTATAGTTGCTCATCAGAAAGAAAACGTCGTATTCATCGCCATCAACATCAACATGACATTGAATGCGACGAAGAAATTTAATCAGTTTTGTTCCCATCATATAACTATTTGTTTATTTTTTTTTTCGTTCTCTCGTTCACGCGTTTATTTATGTAAGCGTTTGTCTTTATTTTTTTTGTATGTTTTTAGAATAAAAAAATTAAAAAAATTAGCTTATTTTATATCATATACTAAGATAAAGAGAAGAAAAAGAACAACATATTGTTTGACATACGAATAATTATCAGGTAATTGGAGTTTTTCCTATTAACATTAGTTTATATACTTCTGATCGATGACTAATTAGTTCTGATGAATAGAGAATTTAATTCTCTTTTGATTGTATATAATTTCGACCGAGAGGTGACGATAGGTCTTCAAGTAAAAGAAAGGAGTTCGGGCTAATCACGATTTACATTGATTAATATTTATGATAAAACTCATCGGTCAAAAACAATTACGATTTAAAATAGATTGAAATTCTTAACTATCGTTATGTGTACTTTTGTTATCACAGTTATTGGTATCTTCTTGTTTAATGTTTAAGTATTAAGTATCCTGTAGAGTTGCCATTCATCTTTCTCTCCCCTTAGCTCTCTCTTTCTCAGAAAATTCGATCTTATCTTAGACCAAGTATATTGAAATCGCATGAAATTTCAATAAATGTTCCAGTTTTAGTAGAGAATCTATGCTTGAATCCTCAGCTCTATATCATGATACTGTTAGGAAATATGCAATAAAACAAGAATCAAACAAAAACAACTAATTTGACAACGAAAAATTCTTAATGGCTCCTTATTCTATAGATGTAATTTTCTTTTTATTTGCAGAATAATACCAGATTATAGTGCTTGACAGAGGCATTGCTTTTTTTTTTTAAAAACTCTTTCTCCTTTATACATAGAAGAACTATGACAAATTCAATAGCTCGAAAATCTCTCAAAAAATTGTCATCTATTTATCGAAGTACATTTTTTATATAATAATAGAAAAGCTTAATTCAAAAATTGGTCTTTGTCAGGCACTATCGTTTTATATATTATTTCAAACAAAAATTTAAAGCGATTAATTTTAATAAAGCTTCTTCGAGAACTCTAGAATGTGTGATCAGAAAAATATAAAGAGAGAGAAAAAAACAAAACAATATTTATCACTTTTTCCATAAACAAACAAAGCATATTTTCAAAATAGAAGATGATGGAAATGATCAAAAATTTTTGAATAAAACGAGGCATAAAATAAAAAACCATATCGATTATAGAAGATCAGAGTTCGGACTATCATTCGATACATTTCTCTGAATTTCGATTCTTCTGATGAAAATTGACTATTGATTTCTTTTTGACAGAAATAATGCTTAATTTAAAAGGGTGTGGGTGTGGGTGGGTGTGGGTGGGTGTGGGTGTGGCAGCAGTGTCCAAGGACTGAGAAATAGGAATTCCTAATTTGCAGAGGCATTGTCAGTGTAGCTATGATAACTTCTTGGGGAAATGGGAATTGACCATTATTTCCACCACAGTTCCCTCATTCATGAAAGTCAAGATAATGCTTTTTTTGCAATAATTTTCGTACTCATACGTTCATGTGCACAAATTTCTTGATGAAAACGAGTGTAAGAGTAATAAGTACCGTGGATTTTGTATTTTTTTAATTTTAGCATTCAAGGAAATGTCAGGGAACTGAGTAGGAATTCCTATTCCTCAGTCCTTGGACACCCCTCTTTGTATTTGGAATGTTGCCTTGTTCAATAAACATTTTTTTAGTACTGATCGCAATTCTTGTATGTTAACTAAAATTCTACTAGAGATAGGTAAATTTTTCTTCTTTTTTTTTAAAGATATGGACAGCCTTCATATTGAACAGAATCAGTTATCATTTGAATTTTCGGTCTCTAAAATCTAATTCACAATGATAAAATTTTAACTTTATATTTATGATTTCGATTCGATTTTTCACACAATATAACTTACGGGTCAATTATTAGTTCCAAACAGTTTTCGATCTTAAAATATTTCCTCTAACTTGGTAATAAAAATGATTTCTGTTTAATTTCTGATTTATAAAGAAATTTTTTGCGATGGACTTTCCAAGCGTTCGAGTTGATTTCTGAACATCTTATTTTAGTGTTAGATAGACCAGCCAAAGATGTATTTATTACAATATTTGAACTTTGGCAAAGTCAACTTTTGGTCATGTTCACCTGGTTGCCCACTGCGAGACCGTGACGGACATTTTAATTAATATACAATGAAAGTTCTATTAATAGCTAATTAATGTCTAATTAACAGCTAATTAACATTTAATTAACATCTCATTAACAGCTAATTAATGTTCCCTAGACTGAAAGGCTAGGGTCTAGAAACCGTGATTCAACTGTGTCAAGCTGTCCGTTTATCTGCCTGTAACAAGTGCTTGGTACAATTGATCATTTCTGTGGCACAATTGACTATTCTTATGACACTAATGACCATTTTTTTGGCACAATTGACCATTTGTATAACACAAATGACCAGTTTTGTGGCACAAGTGACTGTTCTTATGACACAAATGACTATTTCTCTTTCGCAGACGACCATTTTTATGGCATAAATGACCATTTTTTTGGCACAATTGACTGTTTGCATGGCATAAGTAACCATTTTTGTGACACAAATAACCATTCCCATGGCACAAATCACCATAAAAATACAACTATCTGCTTGTCATCATTCCGTCAATCTAGGGCCCAGTGAATCGACCTTCGATGTCGATGAGCGCTACTTGTCTAATTAACACCTCATTAACAACTAATTAATGTCTAATTAATAGACATTGATTTGTCTATATAAACGCATCACAGCTACCTATATTTCTACCAAATTAATCGCAAAGCGATCATCAATACAAACAACGACTATTACTGCATAAAAAGAACACGGGCAAACTCGATGGGAAGATTGCTCTCATCACTGGTGGTTCTATCGGAATTGGTTTTGCGACTGCTCAGCAGTTTTTTGCCGAAGGTGCAGCACATGTCTTCATCACTGGGCGACGCCAAGAAGCACTCGATGATGCTGTCAAAAAGCTTAATAGCAAGAACGTGACCGCAATAAAAGGTGACACATCAAAGCTGGCCGATCTTGACAACCTATACAGTATAATTAAGAAACAGACGGGTCATTTGGACATTCTTTTCGCCAATGCAGGTATAAGTGCATTTGCAGAGCTTGGCACGATCGCCGAACAGCATTTTGACGACATATTCAACGTCAATGTGAGAGGAGTATTGTTTACTGTTCAAAAAGCATTGCCAATTTTCAAGGATGGTGGCTCGATCATCTTAAATGCCTCTATCGTTTCCCGCAAAGTATTTCCAGCTTTTAGTGTCTACAGTGCTACAAAGGCGGCTGCTCGATCTTTCTCAAGAACATGGACTGTAGATTTGAAAGATCGCAAGATCCGGGTCAATGCCTTGAGTCCGGGACCCATCGATACACCATTATTGCGAGGCCTGGGCAGGACCGAATGGGAACAAAAAGTATTCATTGCTACAATTCAGGGTGGTACAGCTATGAACCGTCTTGGCGCACCTGAAGAGATTGCCAGAGCAGCAGTCTTTCTTGCTTCGGACGACAGCAGTTATGTAACAGGAATCGAGCTTTTCATCGATGGAGGCATAGCACAGCTCTAAGCTGTTTATTTTGGACACTCTATTTTTTAAGACATCTATTTAACTGCTAAGTAGTTTTAAATAAAAGCTCAATAAACTAAATGGTATTCGAGTCGAAACTCGAATACGAAATGCGGTGCGAAGCACGAATCTCTTGAGTTTTTGAAAAAACGATATTTCGTAGAAAACGAAAATTCAATTGTCGAGTTAATAGCAGTAGTCATTTCTAGTTGAAATGTGTACAGACTACCGAGCACGAGAAAATTGAAAAGCACCATAATAAAATTCATCCTCACGAGAACTCTATGAAAGCTTATGAACACTTTTCTGAATAACGATTTCGATTGATTGTTTAATTAACTATATAATTCATTATCTACACAAAGTTGTGATTACAGCTGTTTGATATATGAAAAGCAGACAATGGCGCATAGCTTAAGATAATAGACTTACTAGTGAAAAACGATAAAAACGAATACATATGCCCAAATAAAACTTGTCACAAATTGTTAAAACCACAAGGATTCACAATGCATGTTAAATCACACGCTAAACTGTCATTCAAAGAACGAGAAGTTCGAAACTAATGATCTGAAATCTGAGTTTAGGCTACTGTGTTTTATGATGACTGTCACTGAAACTGGATTTGCTTGTGGTCTGAAGGTGACAGACTGATGGTCAACGCTGTAGTTGTGTATTGTCCTGTGTTTCTTTTTTTGTGGTTGCTGTCTCTATGTATATACTTTCTCCCTCTGTACCTTTTATGTTCAATTTTCATTTGTTCTTCACCTAAGCTGGTATACCAGTATTGACTATCTATCTATCTAGTAGGTTAACAATGGTTTGATATTTTGTGGCTATTCAATGTAATTCCTATTTCAAAAACAACAGGCGCCAATGTTAGATGAAAGCATAACATAATGATGCCTTTCAATTAAAATGATAATATCAAAGCAAGAAAAATTGAATGTATTCGATATGATAATTTTTTTTTTCTTCATAATCTCAGTTTTGATTATATGTTAATTGAATATAGACCTGAGTTATAGTTTCTATCTCTACTAAGAGAAAACAAAAAATAATAAAAAGAATAGTAATAGTTACTAGTTGATGTAGATATATTCTATTAGTTAAATATTTCACTGCATTTTCGAACATAATTTACAGTTAGCATCTCAAGGTCATTTTCATCTAATAGTTAACTGCAACACCTTTTCTTCTTTTTTTCTTCTTCAGACTTTATTTTTGTCGTATGCATCTGTTCTTTCTCTCATGAAAGGAAAGGTCGGCAAGTTCGTATACGTTTAAAAGTTGGCTATTTTCATGCAGTATATTTTGTACTTCATCCATTCATTCGTGTTATCACGATGACAACACAAAAAAATTTCCAATAGATGAAGCTTTCAAAGGAAAACTATAATGCATCATTTGTCAGTTGTTATATTTTCCCATCATTGATTCATTCGAAATATATAAATAGTTTGACGTATTGCTTTTCATACTATTATTTGAAATGAATTCTCTTCTGCTTGTCTTGGTGTTGGTCACTTCCACTGTTATCTGTAATGCAAAACGGCCAAGTGAAACTCAATCTGCTTCTAGTTTTCTTCCATCCACTGGACGTACTTGTGGAGGTATTTCACCATTAACTCGTTGGACAAGAACAAGTCGATCAGATCAAATACGAATGAATATTGATACAAGTAGCTGTCGATTTGCAAATACTCCTATGTATTTCACAAGCATATCAGGTATTGCTGGTCATTATCTTCTTGCTGGTGGCAATGCTATCTATGAACCGACCCCAAATGGCTTCACTATTAATGTTCACTCAACAAACAATGAATCAGCCGATACACTCATGGCTTGGTCTGCTCAGTATCAATGGAACGTCAATTGGTTCGGTTATTTACCTTGAATAAAGGAATTTCTGTATCATTTTATTTAAATAAACAAGTGTCGAGATTTCTTTGAATATTCATATCTTCTTTTTAAATGTTGATGTCTTAATAGAACAGATATACGCGTTGATCATTCAAGAAAATCAAGAAAATTACAAAAAGAAAACTAGAAAAATTAAGTTCGTTTAAGAAAAAAGTCTTTTATTTTGATATCGGTCGTAAGCTGAAAAAGAAAATAAACTTTCAATCTTGTCGAATAACCCATATGTATTGATTCTTCATTTGTCTGAAAATCAATTCGACAGATAATCATACATAATTTTTCTGCTTTGTAGAAAATATTCAATGTTTTGTCAATAAAAAAACTAATGTCTTATGTGTAGCTAAGTCAGAAAAAAAGTGTAAATAATTCATCCATATAGTCTTTTTTTTTTGAAACATCATTGTGATTTGGCGCCTCTATGTATTGCCAAACTTGTTTGTACAAAAATTAGTGAATGAGACTTTTTATGCTTGATTTGTGATATGATCAGAGAAAAAACTAAAATAAAAACCATTTATTCCGCACTACATTCAGGGATTTTCTCTAGGTCCATAACAAATATTTACGTATTCTTTACGTAATAGATGCAGAGTACTGAAATCTTGCCTTCATCAACTAGTATTTTGTCTGTAGTTAGGAATAAGTAGTAGATAAAACAGTCTTTAGTATATTGACATAGTTCTTTTTTTTATGGATTTGTAAGCTATGATATATACGTCATGTAAATCTGTATTGTGAGTGACGACAAAGTAAATGAGTAGATCGATTGAAGAAAAGGAATCGACCTGGTGACCTTATTACTCATAGACTATATATGCCGACTATGATTATAATTCTCGATTATTTGACTAGTATTATCAAATATATGGAAACACAATTCTAATCATGAATCAATTAAATCATCATTATCTATAGTCATTAAATCATCGATTGAGTGACGAGATAATCATTGATTGACAGTAGGATAAAAGCTCGATTGGCTATGTCATGATGAATGAGTGACATCCAATGCATTAGAAATTGCATTGAAGCAAAGTTTTAGAATTTAGCTTGACATATTAATCATTTGAAGGGAATGAGCTAACAAAAAGACCTTGAATGTTCTCTGAAACAGGATATGATTGTCGATGTCGATGTTGTGAATTAGGTAGCCACACCCATACCATGGCAATATAATAGATCTTTGAACTCTATCGATTTGACACATTCATTAATTAAATAACTATAAGGAATTTCGAAGCAGGTAGTTATGCAAAAATTTGTAACACAGATCATTCCGAGCTTTTTAATGCGATAGAAGTTTAGTTGATATTTTTTCAAAGTATGGTTCTTGTATATTTCAATATGAAAAACAAGCGATAGAAAAATGATTCGTATAATCATGCAGCTAATGCATGTAACTAGTCAGCGGATTCCTATAGCGTCGTTGTGCAATGTCATTCACAAACTCTCATACATTCGTCGCTGGATTGGAATCGATTGCCATTGCCTATAAATGAAGATATCTTGTATTTTATATTTCATGAACAAATTGAATATTTACCTTGGCAGCCACCGTAGATGAACGATTCGCAGCGATTTATTGTTGAATTAAAGAAAAATCTCTTGAAATAAGCACGACACATACCATGTACAGGTGGTAATTCGCATACCGATGGTCGTGTAGCATCGACCAGGAAGACTATGACCAAACATGAAAGGACGATAAAAATTGTAAATTTATGCATAGTACAATACTATAGGTCTGTGTTGTATATCTACAATAGTTAAAATGAATTAGAATAGACAAATAAGACCATGAATATCAATAATCATCTATTGGCAACAAGTATGACTAGCCTCGAGTACTGGGAATCATGTCTGGGATGTTGATCGGAGAACTTTGGAGCAATATGTTGCATAAAACATTCGATGGAAAGCTCGATTGAAAGATATATCTCAGAGAAATATTTTTATTAGTTATTCTTTTGATTTGTAATCTGCAATCTTCAAGATTATAGTTTGCAATGAAAATAATATATTGTTACATCGAAATTTGAGATTTGAACTTAGTATATTCATTCCTGTATATTTTCGACTATCACCATAGTATATACTTTTGATGGACCGAAAAATAGTTGTCACTAGACTTCTTCCGTTCTAGAATATTATTGTCCTTTTTTTGGAAGTAACGACAGCTGTTCGTAATAATGTTCATTGTTCTGTAGCGAAAATGTCATAGTTGATCGCACACTATTCTTTTCGTTTGAGAGCTTTCAATTCAATTTTAATTATTGATATAGAGCAATCGGATCATGAACAATAACCATGACTAGAGTCAATCACTGTTGAATAGTCCAAACGTATGTTGAAAATCAATTAGTGTACTCTACGTAGATTTCAAATAGACAATTCTAGATAGTGAAAAGAATTAAAAATGTGAGTACACCAATAGTTGAGCTCCGAACACTTGAGATCTGCTTGATTAATAAAAAAAAAATCAATATTCGATCACTTAGTTCAACTCATACTTAAGTACGGCAAATTTAAAAAACACTGATATTGCATCTAACTATTCATCGTCTATAAGCTTCACCAGGTCGTAGTGGAATGTGAGTCTTGGCATATTATTTATCGAGAAAAAGCTATTTGAATCAAGCACGTATTTAAATAGTATAAGGAATCTGTGAATCGCAATTATACATCGCTGTTTAAATAGAAAAGTAAAAAGAGACAAAATGATTTTGCAAAACAAACTACATAATTTGTCCGTCGTACACAATCAAAATTGATATCTTTCATAGGGAAAAAATTGTAAATTACTATAGTCGAGTTACGGCATTTCAGACTGGTTGATATACATGTTGCTCTAGAATAAAATAAACGAAATAAGAGTAAACTGATGCTCATTGTGTAAATAAATACGAAATTCAATGGTTTAGAGTAGAGATCGATCGGACAAACATCGAATTTTAATCAATTCTCAATTGATATGCGCAGTTCAATGGCAAACGATACCTTCGCTACTGATCATACTGCGTCATAGGACACTGGTAGACACGACGATCGAAATCGTCAGTAGTCTTTCCATCAATGTTTCTTCGATTATGCCAAACGTTGTATAAATATGAAATCATTCACTGCGATTAAATAGAAGTTATTGTGACAACATTGTGAACGAATCTTAATTTACTCCGCTCATTGTCGATTTGGTATCTGAATAAATTAAATTCCTACTACGCTATACAATATTCACTTCCCTTAAATGTAAGAACAATAATTGACGACAGCCGTTTTTACTTGGAGATTTGTATACTTCAATGCAAATGAGTAATACTTACATTTGCGTCTTGATTACTGTTCCTATCGCCCCTCGCATAAGCGTATTTGTTTTGAGTTTACAGAATCGAATCAATATGCTTACTTCAAAATCGTCAGAAGAGCTTTACGCGCCATATATTTATTATTCAAAGTTTTATGATCGGCCTTTTTCGCCTGATAGAATTGAATAATTTATACATTACGTGTAATTCATTCATGCATAATGTCAACATGGTCTTTGTTGATGTTTTTCTTACTCGAAGACAAGTAGGAAGTATTTAAAGCATAGATTATACCACTACTTAGGGTGAAAGATAAGCTCCATATTCAGTCTCGTACCGTTAATGTAGGACGCAGGCACGGATTCCATATCAGTCGTTATATTAGACACAAAAATATGGCTGTATGGTGATGAGATACTGCGCATATATACGGCTATACAGCATGAAAGTATAACATCGTAAAACGGTGCCATATCACTGTGCCCAATATTACATGAAAATGAGGGTCGTTTATAGAATCATATGATGCAATGGATAGAAGCGCATAATTCCACGAATTGGTCCATTGCTAAAAGTTAACTGAAACACACCGAAAATCATGTGAAACTATAAGTTTTGTGCTTTTATGATTATTTATATGAAATAGCCAATATTTTTTCTATTATTCCACACCATTTTAGGTTAATTTTAGGTCATATCATAATCACATAGTTAGATGGCCTATGTTTAGACCATATTTATTGCATAACTTTTCTTGATGTTTAAGGATTTCAAATCGTTTATATATCATTCGATTTCTACTTCATTTAAGTGATTTTTTAAGTGACAACTATGGATCCATAGTAGGAAACTATAGTGACCTACTCATAATTCATGACCTTTAGCATTACTATTATAAAGCTACAACACCTTGATTTTAATACCATTCGATAGAGTTGAAAAAGCGCTACAAACTGATACTAAGTTTGACTGTTTTCTAATAGAACTTTGATCAAACAGTTACAAATACTGCTTAGGAACACTACAAAAATAATTAAAACATTCATATAATAGAAACTTATCATAGATATATTAGCTAAATTAGCGCTATCACTAACATAAATAGTGCCCACTCTTATTTCCATATGTTGGTATGAAAAACAAAGTAATTTTCTCATTAAAGTGTCTTGATAATAAAAAAATCTTCACAATGCAACTTTTGGAAGTATTTTGTTTATAAACAAAAAATAGGCAATAATGTGTTTATATGATTAGAGCTTTTTACTTGGGAGATTCGAGACAGAATGTGGATGTTGTTGGACAATGAAATACCCACACTCATAATGCATAGCGCAAATATGATTGAGTTGTTAGAAAGAAACAACGCAATCATGAAATTTATGATGTAGGTTTGATTTCTTTCTCCATTCACACATTCCTTCTTCTAAGTAACACCAACACACTTTCACGCACACCTTTCAACAGTATTTATCAAGTCACAATCATAGAAAACTTCAACTCTATAGAGATTTATTAGCAAAATACTTTTAGAAACTTAAAAATTTGGATTTACCTCCATAATGTCAGAGAATCTGAAGTTTCCTGCAAATGAACTGCCTCATTTATTTTTCATTACTGTAAAAAGATCAAACATTGTTTCTATTTCAAAATAAGAGACAGAGCAGTTAGAATTTCTGATTTGAATTAATTACAATAATTGATTTTTACATTAATCATTTGAATGACTAAACAATTCTTTCTTCTAATTGACTTAGCATCAAATGATTTATGTCAATAAGCATTGTGATTACACGAAGCAAATGTCTTCATTCTGTTTATTAATTTGATCAAATGAATAAAATCTTTATTGTAACCATCTTTTATCTTTGTATCAATAAACTGTCTATATTTGCGTCGAAGACAAATCTCCATATTGAAATAATGACAAAGAGTTTATCTGCCAAGATATAAAGGTAAAAATCTATTTTTCTCTTATTTAACTATGATAACATGATATCTATTTGATTTTACCTCATCATACTTTATCTGAAATCCAATTTTGTCCTGTTGAAGATTTTTTTATTAAAATTTCTGCTTACCTTATGGAAGATAAACAAAAACTCATCATGAAGATTCAAAAATTTTTGTGTCATTCCGAAACATGGATTTCTCTGACAATTTAAACGAGTTTCCAATGACTCATCATTCTCTAAGTTATCATGACACAAATCACAAAATTCTGTTACCACGAAAAACACGTAAGATACGAAGGGTGAATGCATACTCGAAAGACTACATAAATACCGTGTTTCACCTGTATTAATAAATGATTTTCGTGTGTTTGTTTTTTGTTGCACAATGTTGATGATATAAACAAAAAAAAAATATTGCATCGAATGAACCAAAGACCGGTAGGGAATTAATATTAGTATGCAAGAAACTATTGAGTAAATATAGAATTGATGTCTGAATATTTTACTTGAAGACTGTGAACTATAGGTATACAGATAGAAAAAAAATAAGAAGATCATTGTTTATTATTTTGTTTACTCATGTTGTCCATTGCACGTGAGCATTCTTTGTCTTCTTCCTTTTGGTCAACATTGAAATACGACAATATTACAACGGAGCAATAAAAAAAATCCAATGTATATTTTTTGTCGAATTGTTCC